AAGGAGATGGAAAACCAGGTTGCAGCTGTTATTCTTAAAGACATCACTGCAGTAATTGACTCTCCTTCTTATCAAATGGGTCTAACACTGGCATACACAGATGACCTGATGTGAAATGATATGGACTGTACGATGAGAAATAAGGAAGAAAAAAAAGTCTCAATTCACAGCAACACACACCTGAGTTATTATTATCATTATTATTATTATTATTATGTTGATGATTAACTCATACCTGTCATGCCTGGAGGTGTTTTCAAGAACTTTCCATTGAAATTTTGGATAACCACATCACACTTCTCTGTTGACTCCATCCTGAAAGAGAAAAAAAGAGAGCGATAAAGATCAAATATCGTCATTTTGATTCAAAATTAGAAGCAGGATCAGGATTAAGGGTTAGAATAAGGGAAATCATAGTTAGATTTAGACTACACAGGAGTTTACATGTTCTCCTCATGTGTGCAGGGGTTTTCTCTGTGTGCTCTGATTTCCTCCCTCTCGTTAATATCTTCCAGGTTAAGGATTAGGGCTGATTGGACACTCTAAATTGATTCACAGTGTGAATGTGACCCTGTGATTGACTGGGTGTAACCTTCCCTCCCTGTTAGATCCAGCTACGCCGTGACCCTGAAAAGAATTAAAAGGTTAAAAAATAAATGGATAAATGGAAATGTAAGATTATTATACAGGAATAGGAAATGTGTCTGTGTGACTTAGTGTGTGCATGCATTTGTTTCCTACGGTATTTCCTCTCTTTTGTCCAGGTTTAAAAGCTTCATTCAGAACAAACAGTGAAGTGTCATGTCCTCACAGCTGCCTTCACCCAATCACTGCTTCAGGACTAATTGCCTGCTTGGCAGGCAAAAGATACTGTGTGTGTGTGTGTGTGTGTGTATGCTCTTATATGTATTTGTGTGTGTCTTTGTGTACTTTTTGTGTGATAGACACAATGACTGGAAGGAGGGACAAAAAGTGTGTGAATGTGTGTCTGACTGTGTCTTGGGTTCCCATTACACAGTCAGTGACCCAGAGTGGACCCCTGACTGGATTCTAATAACAGGCACACTCCATGGTGTAAGTGAGAAGAGCAAACACACACAGACACGCTCAAACATTCCCTTGAACACACACACGCCAAGGATAGTCAAGGGTAGTGGAATGTAGACTTTTATAATTATTGCAAAAAGGTTCTTGAGTTGTAAATGGCCAGGAGTCAAATAAGGTTGGTTTTTGCAATTATCTAAAAATGGTTTGTCAAACTATTAGCTTATTGAACACTCCAGGCAGCCACTCTTATTTTCTAATGTCAAAATATGACACATTATAATTAAGTTAGGGGTTTTTTTTGTATTTGATTATTTATTAAAACTGAAGTGCGTGGATTTTGTTTTCCAGCCAAAAACAGTATAAAACCACTTAGAAAAGGTTCACAAATGTAACAGCCCTGTGACCCAACTCCCACCAACAGTACAGTGTGGTGGGTGTTGATATCAAACACACTGTAGATGGATCAAGGCTAATAATCACCACAGCTAATTAACACATTATTTGGTATCCTTATCAAACTGAATCAAAACTGTTATTATCAACACTTTGTCTACACACCGTTGTTGTTGAGGTTAAGGTCAAGAGTAATTCAAAGAGTTCTGAGACAGATGTTATCATTTCAGTGAGTGTCTGATTAAAAAAGTGTTTGGAAAGGTTGGTCCATTAGTGTCAGACTTTGACTTCTCTTTGTACAGTAGCTGTGGTCTGTTACATTTCCACAGCTGTTTTCTTAAACACAACCTCCTTTTCTATATTTTGTTTCAGTGTTGTATTTATGTAAAATGGTCGAGGTGTGTATTCTGACACTGGAATTAGTATTATTTACAAACCTGTTTCTCACCTGTTGTTTTTCTTATGACTCTGACTCTAACAACAAGCATTAGGAAATGTCTGCAGAATGTGTAGGCCTGTTACACAGCAGCACTACAGCCAACGGTGTAATTCAGCAGCAGTGAAAAAATGATTGAGGGTTGCGTTGTCACAATATATACTGGTGGGTAATCTCTCAGAGGGCGGCACTGCTCTGAAGAAAAACACTATCCTGCACAGCATCCTAAACACAGGCTGAATTAAAGGAACAGGTTTCATCCAATTCACTTTGTTACTGTGAAAAGGAAACAGGTTATTTATTACTTTATTTAGTAGTAGTTACTGGTATACAGTGTTGTACAATAACATATTGAAAACTGACACCATGTTCCAATAATGATTGGCTGGTTGTAGCCTAAAAGATCGTGTCAAAAAAAGTTGATTTTACTAAGATGAGCTCTTAAGAGTTAGACAAAATATGTATTTGTAGTACTTAATTGTAAATTTAAGTATTTCAAATAATCAAAAATAAAATCTAAACTCATAATATGCAACATAAACAGAAACCACCATTTAAGAGTTACCGTTACAGTTACTAATAATGAGGCAGTATATCATGAAGACAACCGCCCTGTAATAATTTAAAGCTACATCAACTGTGTCTGTGTCTCTGGCTACCTGGCAAAGCCCACGCCTCTGCTCAGCCCGTTGGCGTCCCTCAGTATTCGTGTAGAGATGACGTGACCAAAGGGCTTCAGCATGTTCTCCAGCTCTTGTTCATCCATGGACACAGGCAGGTTGGAGATGTAGAGGTTGGTGGGGTCCTGCTCTTGTTGCTGTTGATGGAGGGAGAAAAAGAAAGCGAGCATAGAGTCAAAAGGCTGTTTTTAAAGCCTTTAATTCAATCAGTCGAAGTCTGTAAAGCTGCCAAATGAGCCCCAGTCTCTGAGAACAATAAACAGTCTCCCCAAAAACAGAATAAAAATGTCATGATTGATGCAAAAATACATAAAGTTCAGGTCAATAACTGCTGGATCAGCAAGTCCACTGCTTAAACAAACTCTGGTGCCGCATTTATTAACATTCTTATAGAATACACTTGGATTTCAGATGGCCTGTGTGCCGAGCAAAATGCATTTTTGCCTTTCAAGTGCAAATTAAATTCAGTGAAAGGAGGGAAATGTGGCTGACCGTCAGCCCTCCTTAAAGCTGGGGCTGCAGCAGTAGATTCACACGAGGCTGCGGCTCTACCATTCAAGTTGTTTACTGTCAGAGGGACCACTGAATATAACTCTGAAAAATAATGATCACGTGAAACAGAACAGGTGACAGAAATACTCTCGGTGCAGAGGATCCAGATCTCCTGACGCACGCAAGTGTCACAGAGATGTTTCATTCAACAGAAATCAATTATCTTAATGTGTTTTTTATTTAAGGGCACACACTGGTGTGTGGTAGTACCATAAATGTTTATCTTCACTTGACTACAAGCTCACCCGTCATCAGAACTTTTTGACCAGATTTTTTTAGAGTTCAAACCCAAAAATCACTTAATTTGTGGTTTTCTTTTCCAGGACCTGAGCTCAGGTACTGCCTGGTCGCACCGCCTCAGACCAAAGCCAACGAAGCAGTCAGTTACACAGACCCGACGGAGCAGCATTAGCTAAGAAGTCTGGAATATAGAATCTTCCCTCGTCAGCGGGGATTTTCCTTTGGCACAGGGTCCAACACAGTGTGGCACAGTTATCTTCCCACACACACGGCTCCTGGCTCTGACTTCAGTCTCCTGCGATTGTGTGCATGAATTAATGTGCCTGTGAGTGAATGTATGTGAGCAGACAAAAACATCAATAATGTAAAAAGCTATAACCAACTGCTGTGATAATATATCACTGACCAAAGTCCAATCTCTCTAACGGCCGTTCTATCTGTACATTCCCTCCATGAGAGAACCAGTTTCTTCAAACTCTTCATCACTATGCTAATGCTGCAGTCATTCCTCAGGGCAAATGTTTTTAACATAGTGGCTCCTGACCCAAAAGTGGGTTAATGCCATAACGTCAGCATGACTTTAACTGTTTGACCCATAGACTGTGATTATGACGAGGCCTTTTGTATCCATTCACTGAGGGAAAAAACAAAAATGTGTCAATAATCTGATGTGATTTTTGATGAATGAGGAGTGAACCTGAGGCACTGCTGCACACTCTCACTGTAGCTGAGGACTTTTTCACCTGTTCATCTAGAACAGGGGTCTCAGACTCGCGGCCCGCAGTACAATATTTTGTGGCCCGCACCTTAATATGAAGGTATAATATTAGTGTGGCCCGCGGAGAAAGTGGACCTCCGAATCAGCAAGCTCCCGCGCGCCGTCCCTTGTCGGGGCTGGGCTAAGCTACACTAGCTTCGTGCACTTCACGCTTGCAACAACAGCACGGCGTGTAATGAACAGCCAGACAGCAGTCGCCTTTGCGCTTGCCATCTATCGAACTTTCTACCACGAATGTCATGATCAAGCGCAAAAAGAACGGCGACTGTTACCGGGTTGTTTATCGTGTACGCTGCTGTTACAGATAGAAGCGTGTGACGGAGCACCTGTAGCTGCTCTGACACTCCCCGACCGGGGCCTCTCGCTCTGGCTAGAGAGCGGGGAGAGCTCTCCGGGTTAAAGGACGCTCCGTCACAAACCGGAAATGACGCCAGGGGCAGCTCGTCAGCGCTGCCTATGACAACGTGAGAGCATTCTCCACAAAACTTTTGTTATGGAAAGCCCAGCTCTCTTAGACAAACCTTTGCCATTTCCCAGCATGCAAGACACTTGTGGATGCAGGCACACCATTCAGTGGTGAGAAATATGTTGATGATATTTTGAAGCTACAGAAGGAATTTGATCACAGATTTGAAGACTTCAAGACGCACAGAGCCACTTTTCAAATTTTTGCGGACCCCTTTACCCTTCATGTGCAAGATGCCCCTCCTGTGCTTCAAATGGAGCTCATTGACCTGCAATGCAACTCTGACCTCAAAGCCAAGTTCAGGGAGATGAGTGGAAAAGCAAACAAGCATGGGCAATTTTTTAGAGAATTGACCCCCAACTTCCCTGAGCTGAACTTCAATAAGTCCAAGTACAGGTCTTAGACTTACTGATGATCATCTTCAAGCCATACTGAGGGTATCAACTGCTTCCTCTCTCAAGCCAAATGTGGTTCAGATTTGTAAAAAGAAGCGCTGTCAAGTATCCGGCAGCAGGGAGTAGGCAAGAGGAGCCATGTTCAGAAGAACTCATTAAAACTGTTAACTGTTAACATTTGAGGACTTTTTTAAAAAACTTTATTGTGGAATCCCTTACGCGGCCCACCCTCACCTAGACTCTGCCTCCAGCGGCCCCCAGGTAAATTGAGTTTGAGACCCCTAGTCTAGATGCTTTTTCATCTTCATAATTTGTCAGAAAAATCTTTATTTATCTTTATCTTTATTTTCATTGTAGGCTTTAATATTTCCCTAAATTAAGGAAATGCAGGGAAAAGGCTATATAGAAAAAAAATAATCACGGAATTTTACACTTCAGCCTCACGTCTCTAGGCACAGTTGGCTGCAGAACACGTTTATTTGCAAGTCCTTCTGGAGTATGGACTTGAGTGCATCGGAGGAGTGGCAAGTGAATGAACTCTGCCTGACTTTGCTCAAAGTTTCCATTTGGACAAAGTTGTTTTTTTTAGGCATCTCACCCTGCATGTTGCAAATGACTCACCTTTCTCTGTCCCCTCTCTCCTCTCTCTCCCCTGTCTCTTTGCCTCTCTGCCTCTTCATCTCTCCACTCTCTCACTCCTCTTTTTCTCCTCTTTCCTCTCTCCTCCACTCAACTCTGTCCCTGTAACATCTGTCATGTGCTGGAAACAGCTTCGCACCAACTGTGCCTCCTCCCTCTCTGTGTGGCCTGCCAGCGAGTCGGCCTGTGTTTTCAGCTCCATTAAACCTCATTGCTGCATCATTATAGCAGGTCGTGCCTCTCATCACGCTACGTCCCAGTTACCTCACAAAACCACCACACCTGCCGAAATATGATGTAAAGGGAGGGGAAACAAGAGTTAAGTAACGGTGTAAAACGTTGTTCTGTCTACAGAAGAAACTGACTAGACAAGACAATATTTTCGATTCCAAGAAAGAGAGATTACAGCGTTTATATTTTTTACCGGTGTTGCTAGTTGGTCTTTTACATAAAATGGTTGTTTTGGAAAAAGATAAGAACAGAAAGCTGCAATTTGACCATGGAATCTTGAAATTCAAATATATAGTCAGCAAAATAGGATTAATGAACAAACATAAACACAGAAAAAAAATCAGTTACTATTAGTCCATTCTTCCTTAAGGTTTAGTTTTAAACAAAGAGATGATTTTTAGATAATTCTTTATATTATTTCTTGTAAAAAAAAGTGGTTTGCAGTAAATCAAAATAGAAAAAAAATGAAGTTCTGATGAGAAATATTTAATTGTTGGAAACTGATGTGAGATAAATGAAACATGAATCAGGCAATGATGTAGGCAGTGGAATTATTTGAGCAGTATATCAGAGAAATAAGAGTCTCTGTTAATTGTGCATTTGATTCCTTCCTTTTATATTCCAGCTCGTCTCCAACTTAATCCTCCTCATTTCCCCTTTTAATCCATCTATTCCCCCATCTATGTGGCCGTCGTTCCGCCCACCTTCTCTCTTTCTGCAGCTCTTTCCTTTCTCACGATCACATCCCTACCTTCTAGTTCCTTTTTCCTGACGTGCTATTCACGCCCTCAGATTAAAACCTAATCTCCTATAATGGTGGCTTGGCTGTAGAAAATGCTATCTGAATGCTCAATTAATATTTAAAGACATTTCCCCCTTCATCCTGCTCTTTCTCTCCTCATGGCATGTTCATGCTGTTTCCACTTTCACGTGTGACATTTTCCTCACCCCACCACCCTCATCTTCTCCTCTATTTATCCTCCATTATCACCTCCTCCTCTCGCTGCATTTTAGCCCATACTTCAAGCAAATTTCTAACCTTTGGCAGTGATTGTCTGGGAGTGGAAATGTTCTCTAACAGTCTAATCAATACTTAATGAACATACCATAAATACTTTATGAACCCTAAAGTCTGAAAACCCTCGGGTTTCATTAGCCATGGAGATGTACACGTTTCCATATCGTCATGATGATGATGACTACAGGCTGAGTGAAATCAACACTGAATGCATCATCATTAAAAGTGGTCATTCGCTGCTACAAGGCAGCGGATGTTGGGCGACTGCTGTTTCACTCTGTCATTGGTTAATGAAGGTTTTGTGAAAAAATGTACACAGGTTTTTGCCCCAGTTAAAGGTCACTGTAATGACAGTCAGCTTAGATACAGACAGATGTGTACTGGCTCCAGAAAACCTGTGAGTAATCTCATTTTAACCCTTTGCTATGCTTTAAGATATTCCTGAGTAATGACCAAAATGCTGCAACTAATAATTAATGTTATCATCACAAAATGTAACATTAAATATTCTGTTAAGTAGCCATATTCTTGTTGTGACACTAGCCTTTATGGAGAGGGAGGAAAGTGAACTCCTTGTCATTGTGACACACACCACTGCACACAACGAAATGTGACCTCTGCATTTAACCCATCACCAATGTGAACAGTGGATTCGAACCTGCAACCTTCCGGACCCAAGTCTGCTTTCTTAACCACGGCCCCTCAAAATTGTGGAGGCCTCCATCTTGAATTCTTAATTTGACAAAAGAATAGCATTAAACTTGAGACAGCATAAATTTTTGTGACAATTTGCAATGGGAATAAACAGTGAGGTGGAA